AGTTAAGTCTAAGTTGTCGTTTAAATTTTGCTAGAATAATTTTAGTAAAAATGAATGAGCAAAATAAAAACACTTAATCACCACAATACACCAAAACACTTTTACTTTTACACTGGACGCGCGTTTCGCTAACCATGTTAGTATCATCAGCAGATGATTATAAACTGAGTTTATAATTTCTTAGTTTATAATCATCTGCTAATGATGCTAACATGGTTAGCGAAACGCGCGTCCAGTGTAAAAGTAAAAGTGTTTTGGTGTATTGTGGTGTTTAGTGTTTTTATTTTGCTGTTTAACACCAAAGGTTCCAACCCTCAACTGTAAAAATGAACGAGACAGCAGAGAAGAGTTAAACTAGATTAGATAATAAAACATTAATGTCTCCAAAATCCAAATATTCTTATTACGGACCGTAACATAGCATCTACCTCAGAACACATTTATATCCACTGATTGCCTAGGTTTTTTTCGTTTGAGTCATGGCTTTATCATACAAGATGCCAAATGTAGAAACGAAGAAAAGTTACGTGATGCGAATTATACCAAAATTAAAACACGTATACATGACGAGGGTGCTGCTGTACCAGAAAAGAGAGAATTTCTTTCTACTGTGTAAGAAAGTATATATCTGAAAAGCTAAAAATAATGTATTTCAGAGAGGATTGGGCCAGCTGAACTGAATGAATCAGGAAGTCTTAAAGCTTCTCAAAATCGTAGCATATTCAAGATCAAATTACCGTTATCGATAATGGAAATGAAACAGTAGAATCCCGTGAAACTGAGCTATTTTCTAGTAAAAATTCAGATGTCCGACCTGATATTGATCTTTATAAACATTTTGATCAAAACAATTTCAATATTTTTAAAAAATCGGAGGCAAAATTGATTTTTTTGCCCGAGCCAAAATCACCCTACTTTGGGTGATTTGACCCTTACCCAGGGTGTCCCTGAAATAAGTTCAAGTATTTTAAAGGGGGTAGATTTGGTCAAAAGAAACATTTTTTCTCTTTACCTTTTTTCAAGTAAGTCCAAAATAACCGAGTTATTTTACTTTGAAAATTTAAACAAAAAGGTTTAAACTTTTTTGCTTCAATTTTGAGAACCACTAGATCTTTCTGGATTTTCTTTCTTGTAAATTTAATCTACTACTTATGTTGCCAGATTATCAAGAAATTATGTTTTTAACTAAAAAAAATCCAAAAATCTTTTCAAAAAATTCCAAATTTTTGCAAAAAAAAACTGATAGGCGTGTTTCTGAGGCCGAAATATACTACCAGTTAAAATACTTGCACTTATTTCTGGGAAACCCTGTATATTAATAAATAAAATATGTTTCTTCGTTATGGTCATTTTGTTTTTGTGGATTCGGGCCGGCTGCCTGTTATTCCCGAGCCGGTTTCCACTTCCCCATCCACCCCTGCTTAAAGGACAGTGGTGACTAGTGAATTCTGATCCAAAGACATCTAAATAAAAGGGAGACAAAACCCACCATTTATAAAAAATCTAAATTTAAATTAAAATTACTTTTTACGATTGCTGACAAAAAAACTTCACGGCACTTGTAGAAAGAAAAGAGACAAATGCACAAGAAACTCAACAGCGTTGCCATATTTATGTACTCATCTCTTTTCAACATACATAAAAGTGTTAATCTATGTATGATTGTAAAAAATTGAAATTTTAGTAGAACTATTTTAGTAGAGTTATAATTATTTAACTTTATTGTTTCTAAGAAGTATTGTATGAAATGATTTTCTTATATTCTTAAATGAATGCAGATTATAAAGATATTTTAAAATATTTCACATTGTCCTGCTGGACAATACTAAAGTAATTATTTTTATTTTGAACTTGTCGTATTACTGACTGTATCATAATTATAATATAAGATTTACAGCATATAATTTATAACTAAAATGAGACTAAATAAAATGGAGAATAATATAAATATTTATTAGGTGCATGATACACAAAAAAGTGAAACTGTAACTTATTAGGAACAAAGTATTTTTAAGGCACTAAATATTCAAGCGATATTTTTGGATAAAAGTAAAGAGTATTTAAGCATATCGTGTATTAGTTAATTTTTATGTAAAATAAGGAGTAATAGTTTTATCCAGCGCCTATTTATTACACAAAGCAACTGTAATGAATTATTTAATATTTGAATATGACAATATACCAGCTAAAGCAAATATAACCAAAAACAACACACTATACAACTAGATATCGTACTAGTAACGGTGAAGTTCAGCTACTCCAGTGAGGAAAACTGTGTTAGTTACTGCATATTTTTAAAAATGGCCATTAGCGAATAAGATCGTCTGCACAGCTAAAAATAAAATTTTGATTCAAGTATGGTAAACCTAGTGTGTGCCCTAAGATGTCAGTGTCTTATTTGTTTTCTAATTGAAGGGTGTAGGGGAAAATATTATAAGCGCAATTTTACTAATTTTACAGGCGAGCACTTGACGGCTTGTGGCTATCAGATTCTTTCCCTGTATGTATATTTTTACTAAGCATATATCATAAGATTTAAAATCTTATTGACCCGTAGAGTTTATATATTTTGTAAGGCCAGTTAAACCTACTATAATATTGTAAAACACTAAAATTAAGAAATTGACGCTTGTCATGTTTTCCACTGGACCCTTTAATTTGCATATTTATTAACCTTAATGTTATTTATTAAGCTTATATTTTTAAAATTAAAATATTAGTTTTGTATGTTTAGTAAAATAATAATAAATATCATAAGTTCTTCTCGAATCTTAGGACACACTGGGCGACATTTTGAATGATATACCGATGCAAATGTCTCTAAAGACAAATCAATAATAACCCCAGCTTTTATCATGATAGGATTTTTTGCATGCTCCATAATAGTAATTAATGCCCTTTGACACTTTAAGTCCAAATCTAACCAGTTTGTGCAATATATGTCATCATTTAATGTATTAGTCTAAAAAATAAATATCCATTTAATTCTTAATAAAATTAGTCTTTTAAACTTTCAGAACCTCGCAATTAGTGGAGTAAATTAGTGGTTTCAATTACACTTTATACTTTTTAGTTTACGATCATTCACAATGTCTAAAATCACAATTTAAATTAATAGAATATCCTAGCAACAGCTGGCGGTAATCAATTGTATCCATAGAGAAAGCCTAATATTTAGCTTATTAAACAACAAAATAAAAACACTAAATCACCACAATACACCAAAACACTTTTACTTTTACACTGGACGCGCGTTTCGCTAACCATGTTAGTATCATCAGCAGATGATTATAACCAGTTTGTAATCATCTGCTGATCAGTGTAAAAGTAAAAGTGTTTTGGTGTATTATGGTGATTTAGTGTTTTTATTTTGCTGTGTAACACCGAAGGTTCCAACCCTCAACTGTAATTATTAAACAATAAACTTTTGATTTCTAAAAACATTTTTTCTTGACGGATGATAATAAAAGGCCAAAACGATATTTCTCGCAAATTTTGAAGTGTAATTTAGGGAAAAGTTAAAAGTTTGGTAACTTTTTCTACTAACTGAAAATTCGTACCCAAGGGGGAAACCGCTGACCTAAATTTTGTACACCAACTTCCCTTTTATGCAAAAACTTCCTCATACATCCCTGATACTTCCTTTACATCCTTTTTACTTCCTTCTACCCCTTTTAATACTTCCTACCTCCTCAATACTTCCTCATACTTCCTTATATTTCCTCATACATCCTCAATATATCCCCGTACATCCTTAATACTTCCCCGTACTTCCTTAATACTTCCCCGTTAAACCAAAGTATGTAATTCAAAATATATCTCTATTAATCACTTTAGAATCGGCTACCAAAAACAGCCAGAGTTATAAAAAGCCCTAAATGATAGCGAAAATTTAATTATTTACAGGCGTTGAAATAATATAACGAATAATATACAGGGTGGTCCGAATTGTATTCCGGAAATTTTCACAGCATATTCTGCAGAAAAAAATAAGTAAAAAAGTTCGTATAAATGTATGCCCTAAAATGTTTAGTTACTTTTTAATAATAATAAAACGAATATATTGAATCAAATTCAAAAACATAAAACACAAATAAACTCGAATTAAAATATGTAATCCAATATTCCCCCAAATCGTGGTTTGCATATTTCTGAAAAAACTGTAATTTGTACTTTTTATTCACTAGATTATCAGTTATCCTGCCTATACAGGGTCCGGCAATAGTGCGTCGAGCATCTGTAGCTCCTATAATAAAAAAGTTAGGAATTTTGTTTAAGGGCAAACTTAAACTATGTATTAGGATGTATTACAGGAATATTTTAACTTCTACAGGGTGGCTCAAAAAAGTAAGTAAGTCAAGATGATTATTTTTAAGTGGAACACCCTGTATATTATTGCATTTTTGGCTTCCTTTTTAATCACTTTATATGCAGTCTAGTAAAATGATAAAAAAGGAAGTCAAAATACAATAATATACAGGGTGTGGCATTAAAAAAAACATCCTAATCCCGATTAATATTTAAAATTTGATCCACCCACATCAGCTCGAAATTTATTACAAAAGTCATTTCGACATCATTTTCGTCAACTGACTCGTCGAAAATAAAGTTTCAAAAGTAGCGTATCGCCATCTGAAGGGAAACCTAATATTTTTATTCCATATCAATTAGTTTCCTGCTCTAAATATTTCCATCTTTGTAAAACGTCTCTGTATGTAAATTTATTATCCATACAATATACTGACAAACAATAAGCTGGCGCTTTGTGAGATTCCTAAAATACTCACTTTTAAAACAAATCTCGAAGACAAACGCAAGAGAATTGCTGCCTAGTATAGTCGAAACTACAATGTTGCCAATTGTAAAAAAATACTCGAAAACCGTAGACAAAAAAATGTATTATTTAAATACCAACTTAAAGTAGTTCTAAGCTCAAGTAGTGTAACAAAACTCTTATAAGGGGTTAGGGGTTCGCTCAAGTCAAAGAAAACTCTTCGAAAAACACTCCGAAAATTCTTTATTCTTGGTATCTAAAATACTATACATTTACTTAGCAGGGGGAAAATTTTATATATATGGTACAATCTTACCTATCAAGCCTTTCTACTAACTTTTAAAAGTACAGTTTTACACTTTATGGCCACAGAATAATAAAATGAATACAATAAGAATAGTTGTTTCAGCGTACAGTAGCGAGAGTAAAATGAGAATCGAATTCAAATATGCAAGGCGCAAAAAAGATTTAAATAAAAAACTGACTCTCCAGGTAGAGCTACGACCAAATAAGATTCCCCACATTGTTATGGCTGCTACAGTAGGCATCAGATTCTATGATCAACTATATTCTATATAAGGAAACCCTTCTGTTTTTCTTTTTAATTTCTAATAATTCTCTTGAACTTTACCGGACTTCCTTCACACTTCTTAAATACTTCCCCGATATTTCCTCGTACTTCCCCGTACTTCCTCTCACTTCCTCAATACTTCCTAACCTTCCTCTATACTTCCCCTACTTCTTCCATACTTCCCGTACTTCCCCGCATACTTCTCTCTTTTTGTACACCAAGTTCCTCAGCGGTTTACCCCTCGTTCGTACCACTAATTTTGACGTTCTGAACGCTTACATTCAAATTAGAAAAACAAACTTCAACACTAATTGAAACCACTAATTTACTCCGCATATTGCGAGGTTCTGAATGAAGCTTTAATTTGATATATTTAATAACTATTTTTTACCTCATCAAATAATATGGCACCTGGTAAGCAAAATAAAAGAACTTCCAAAAGCATAGTAGATGTAAAGAGTAACATAGTATAGAAGTTGAAAGATGTTGGGCTATTCTAAAATAGGAAGTTTTAACTACGATTTATATGGATATATTATTTATCTAACTATTGAAAGGAATAAAGCTGACAGGCATACGACCAGGACACTTGCGCAAAGTTGAAAAAACATAGGCATGGAATAAACATCTTCAAAATCTTGAATATATCTGAAATAGTTATTTTTTTATATTATACGGGGTGAGTAAATAAGTGCAAATAATTTCAGGGCTGGTAGAGCTCGATAAAAGAAACATATTTTCTCTTTACCGTTTTTCAAGTAAGTCCAAAACAACTGAGTTATTTTATTTTGAAAATTTTAAAAAAATATATATTTTTTTGCGAAAATTTTGAGAACCACTAGATCTTTTCTGGGTTTTCTTTCTTGTAAATTTAATGTACGATCTATGTTGCGATATTGTCAATAAATTAGGTTTTTAACTAAAAATAAAAAAAAATTAAAAATGTTAAATGTTCATTTTTTTTGTGAAAAAAACCCTCATAGACGCGTTTCTGCGGTCTATATATACTACCACTAAAAATATTTGCTCTTATTTAAGGCTCATCCTGTATAGTTATAAAATATTTAGGAAAACTATTATATTAAATATTAAATATACAGGGTCCGGCAATAGTGCTTCGGGCATCTGTAGCTCCTAGAATAAAAAAACTTGTGAATTTTATTTAAGTGCCGACCTAAGTATTTACTAGGATGTATTTTAAGAAAATATTAACTCCTATAGAGTGGCTCAAAAAAGAGTAAGTGGATCAGGATGATTTTTTTTAAATGGAACACTCTGTATATTATTGCATTTTTGGCTTCCTTTCATATCACTAAACATAATCCTAAGATACGAGTACTTATATTTCGATGATTTCAGAGATATTTATATATAAATAAAAAATATATATTTTTCAACCTTTTCTAATAAAAAGTATTAAAAATACAAGAACTGTCCTGAAATCAAACCTATATTAGATATTTACTTTAGATGGTCTGTACTTACTTTACTCTAAATATGGTAATCGTAAATCATACAGGGTGTTCAAAATTCTACGCCAAACTTTCTAAAATATAAAATCATTTTTATTCGTTTTTTTTTAAATTGAACATCCTATATATTATTTTTCTAATAGATGGAGAATTAAAAAATTTTTTGCATTTAGAATATTTCAAAATTTTTAATGGTTTTGAAGATATTCGCAGTTTTATATGTCATTTGGCATTTTCCACAGTAAATTTAAAGCCATCACAAAATTGTATTTCTCTCGTAGTTTACCGTTGAAAGAGCCATATGAAATAATATTGCTTGAATCTTTGAAACCATTAAAACTTTTGAAATACATACTTTAAATACAAAAAAATGTAAATTAAATAAATAAAATAAATTAAAATACAAAATTATTTTATATTTTAAAAAGTTTGGGGTAGAATGTTGAATGCCCTGTATAATTTACGATTACCATATTTATAGCAAAGTAAGTACAAACTATTTGAAGTAAATACCTAATATAATTTTGATTTCAGGGCATTTCTTGTATTTGTAATAATTTTTTTAAGAAAGGATAGAAAATATATATTTTTTATATATTTATTAATATCTGTGAAACCATCGAAATATAATTACTCATATTTTAGGATAACGTAAAGTGATCTGAAACGAAGCCAAAAATGCAATAATATACAGGGTGTTCTATTTAAAAAAAATCATCCTGGTCCACTCACGCTTTTATGAGCCACCCTATAGAAGTTAATTTATTTTCCTGAAATACACCCCCGTACATACTGTAGGTTTGTACTTAAACAAAATTCTCAAGTTTTTGATTCTTGGAGTTACTGATGCCCGACGCACTATTGCCAGACCCTGTATAATGGCATTGAACAATATGTTTGAAAACTGCTGTAAAATATTATAGTAGGCATATTTGTTCTATTAGGTATTAAGTTGGTAGTATATATAATTTAATAAATAACAGTATTAACGTTAGATATTCTGATTTAATATCAAGGGAATTTTGATTTAATTTTAAAATTTTCTTTTTTTTTACTAACACAAAAAAATGCAGAAAATAATATGCTTATCATACCCATATTAATTGTGAATATGCACTATATCTAATTAATTTTTATATTGCATATTTAAATAATAATTCTGTGAAAGTTTACCGCATAAAAATAATAAATAAAAATGCAACTAAACCCTTAAAAGTTCATTAAGAGTAAAGAAATTTCATAATAAAGTTTCTCTTGGGAAATTAGTGTTAGAAAAACGGCGCACTTAAACCACATTACATCAAAACGCTCTTTATCAATCTCAAGATACCCTTTGTCAACTGTAATAGTGAAAATAGGAAGAAATTACTGCAGAAATGATTAAATTTAGATTTTTTTTTCATAAAACTGGTCTCCAAGCTAAATTATCAATTATTGATCAATTTGATTATTGATACTGGTCTATAATGTTTCCCTACAGAAACAAATATGAGCCCTGGTACCATTTTCGCTAATTCTTATGTAAAATGTCGTTCTGAATCAAAATATAACTCCCGGTTTCTTTTACCACCCAACATTTCCCCTCTTATTATATTTTTATCACTTTTTGATAATACTAATGTTTAATGATTATGCAGTTTGCCAATCAGTAAGCAAGGGATGGTTTTTCGAAGTAAAACCGATAGAAAGTTGAGTTTTAAATCTAAATAATATCAAATTATTAAGTGAACAGAAATGAAAATAAAACATAGGTAACTTTAAATAGTAACATAAAAGAACATAACTAAATTTGAAAAAAAGTTACATTTTCAACTAAAAATGCAAATACCAAAAACAAAACACACATACAATAAAATAATATATTTAAACTTCAATAATTGCTCATAAACATAATAGGAACTTCAAAAAACTTCAGAAGAGCAATATTATAGCATTACTACTTATTTAGAAGAGTTTGATTTCGACCGTTAGAAAAGTATCAATGGTCTTTGGCATATAACAAAAAATATTTTTTTAATTATTGTTGCCTAGTCCCGAAAGTACCGAAAGAACCGGGAATTTGTAATTTCCAATCACGGTTCTTCGATATGTCAAAAGAACCAAGATTTCCCGGTTCTGAACCTTACCCAAATAGCATAGGAAGGAGAAAAAAACATTGACCACGGAAAATTAACCACTATTTGGTTGAATTTTACTTATACTTAACTTAATAAATTTCTTGTAGGGAATAAAGTGCGAGAAATCTAAAAATGGGGTCGTAAACTAGTTAATAACAACCTAAAATTATGCATTTGAAAAGTAGGAACGTTGGAGTTAGCTGGCGTTGTTAAAATCTAGTTACTGATGACCTATTGAGGGCATTAAGACTACAGGGACTTAAAGTAGGTCAAATATTACTTTATTATAACCTCAAATTTATCTCGGGGGTCGAAGGCATTGTTTGGTTTTCAAGTTAGGTTAAAATTTAGTTGTTAATAACTTTAAATTAGACCTTATTTGGAGGAGTTTAAATTAGGTTGAAAATTTAATTTATTTCGACCTCGTAAGTCGCTATTATGCTTCAAAGGTAAAAGTAACTTAGTTTTTTGACTTCGAAGAAAGTCAGAATTGCGGCAGGTTAAAAATTACCTTTTTTTATTTCTTCGGGGTGATTTCCGTTTAAAAAAGTTTTTGAGGGATTATTACGTCACAGCACATTACCTTGTTCCCACTGGTTGGGAACGAAAGATTATTCAATGCGTTTCTTTTTTATTACCGCCACAATCTTAAACGTGTCCATTATGTGCAATAAAAACAAAAAGTCCTCTGTAATAACACTCACAATCCCAAAACACAAAACTTTTAAAAATAATAGGCAAAAAAAACTAATTTAGTTGTCTATTTTAGGACAGTTCGGTAATTGCATCGGCCAGCAAAAGGATAAAAATTTGACATGTCACGTGACTCTCAATAAAGATTCTCATTTTAGGACACATGATTACATTGTTCTTCTCTGTGATTACTGTGAAAAGTTAATCGGATTGCTCGAAGATCTAATATGTAATTACCGAACTTAGCATAAAATATCATTCTCAACTGTCACTGTCACTCAAAGAAAATAAAAGATTTCTGTTTTACCGGCGTTACTCGACCTAATATAGCCCATTTTTTAACTTGCACCTCCAAGGAAAAATACCTTAAGCAAAAAATTTTAACCTTTGAGGTTATTAATTTAAAGAAATCTTAACCTCATAAAAAGAAAGCGGCAATTTTCTTGTCCAATTTGATTCAATAAATATTTTTTTGTGATATTGTTCTAAACTATTGAGAAAAGTAAACAGACGTTTATG